AATGTTAAACACGTGTTGCGTTACATAAATTGTTTTTACTTATTTTGATCCCAACTAGTACCAATAAAAATCTATTTTTGTCAAATATATTTTTCAAATCCATGCACTTTGATACTTTGGGTTACGTTGACGCTTCTGGTGTATCGACATTTGTTGCGCGTTAATTTAAATATTTGTTTATTCTTTTACAAACTGCAAAAAATGCGCCAATGGGTCGGAAATCTTTCAGGAACAGTTCTAGGCGTTCTGAAGCCACTGGTTATTTAGAAGACGGAAGTAAAGTAAGAAATTAAGTAACATTTTTATAAAAAAAAATATAAACTTAATTTTTTTCTTCTTGTCGTACTAGCTCTCAATTAAGGTTGGCGACCATATTTATTAAAGGTTTTTAATCCAATCTTCAGCAACTTAAAAGAATAGCACCCATATCTGCCTAGTCCCGGACGTTATTCGAGTAACCTATCCTAACCTAACCCGGTAAAATTCATTCTCCATAAGATGAGTAAATTGATTAATGAAGGAGTAGATTGATTAATACAATTATATCAAGACCATGGGCTAGTAATAACATTATATAGTTCTTTAAATTACTAAATTAAGAGAAATGTGACTGGAGTGGCTATCCAAAATCAAAATGACTAGATCATCTTTCGATGGTTTTACGGTATTTTTGAAATGCTGAAGACATTATAAAAAAGATCTTCGTTACTCCAGCCGCTTTTAGAACAAGAATAAATAGATTTGAATGGACCATTTTTTGTTAATGCGTCTGTCATTCTAATTCTTGAAAAAAATTAACATCGGTGGAATGTATCAGGTGCCTGATGCTTTGAAGCAGCAAATAATTGTGATTGTCTTCCCTCTTTCACCTGATGTGTTTCCACCAAACTGTTTGACACCCTTAGGTCCCAGTTTTTATGTGATTGTAACTTGCTCTTTATTAAAAACCGAGATCCGATTTGTGATGGTGGGTTCAGGCTTTCTTAGAGAAATTTCTGGATGTCTCTTCTGGTAAAACTAACTATGCCAGTGTCTAAAATGGTAAATATGTATATTATGTACTTTTTAAACTATATTTTTACCAAGAAAGAAACGTACCGCTGATTTTCTCAAACACGCAAACTATAACATACCAGGCGAAAACATGTAAAGCGAACTGCCAACCCGTAAAGTATCTCCCGACATTCGTTTGTGTTGGATATATCTGGCAGTTGCTAATAGATGACGCGACAATATAGTTTTTTCCATTTAATTAAATAGGAGATTAGAAACATTGATGCGCACAATTACCCGACGCGCACCATTAGCCGACTCTCCCCCACTTGGATGCCCTGATAAAGCTTTTTAATGAAATTCATCAATCTTTACATCAATTTGCTTCCCAAAAAGGAAAAAACTAGATAATTTAGCTATCACCGCATCATTAGTTGTTTCTAAAGAGTGAAAGATCCAAACCTTGACATGAACATACAAGAAACCCAATTTGGATTCCATGAAATACAGGTTTTTACAGGAGAAGCTTCTATTCTATGCATTAATCCAGAGATCCTTGGATGTTAACCAAGACATGTACGTGTGGTTTATAAATCACAACAAGGATTTCGATGAAGTCCGCCACTAACAGCTAGTGAATGCCTTAAAACAAAACCGATACAGTACAATGACCGTCGAAATATAGTAAATCTGAAAACTAAAATGAGGATATCACAAAACCCAAAATTTTCTGAGCATTAGATTTATCTAGGCCTAATGTTTTTTTTTGTTCTCCCAAAGGTATTTTCGTAATACTTGGGAATTAACGATAAAATTTCACAACTCTTGTAACTCTTCTAGGACCGTTCATTTTGCTACACATTTTAAGAAAATTAGCAGTCTATATTTAAGTTTAAATTATTTTAAATGACAATTCAAACTTTTTTTTAATTAAGAAACTATTTCTGATTTGGTTGTTTTTTTGTTTCAGAGATGGCAGTTCCAAATACAGTAGATATATTAGGAGTAGAACCTAGATACCATCTACGATCTGGTTATGCAGGGCTACAAATCAAAAATAAAACAGAAAAAAGGGTAAATATTGCTTCTGTCAACTATTGATTAACTTTTTTTGTACAATAATCTGTACTTGTTTTAGGCAACCAGTAATACAGTTAGGTACATACTTTCTTTATGTTTCAGATTTCAAATTTTTTAGAGGAATCCTCAGGAAAACTGCCAAGGTACAAACATGATAAACGAAAACCAAAAACTACTAACATATGCAATAATTCCTTTAAAAATTTTTGGCTAGACGGAAATGCCGATAACTACAAAATCTTTCAAGAAACTTTAGATAACGTATTTAAAGAAGTCGATGATATCAAAGGTAAGACATTGGTTTGATATAAAATTTGTGATAATTGTGTTGCGTTCTGCACATACGATGACCTCAATATAACAATTGAGATCATCCTGAAGGGGAGAGAAGATATTCTGTTCAATCTAGAACTCGCTGGTTTCCCCTTTCGAATTGGGTATATATATTCAACTAAAGAAAAGAAATCAAAGCCAGTGGACTGTATAAAACTCTATTTAAAAAAGCAATGAAATAAAAACATAAATATACATAACCACATACAATTATAATTAGAGAAGAATATATTACATTAAAGAAGAAGAATATATTACAAACTTAACTATTAGCTACTATGAAACACACCAACAGACACACCGAAAGACAACCATAAACCAACCAAAACAAAAATGTCGATTCTATAAAAAACCACTGACAAAACAAAAGACAAAACCTACCATAGCCGCAAACATACTATACATAAAAAGATAAAAGCCAAATTAATAATCTTACAAAAAAATCAACCTAAATAAGGATATAATATTTTAACGTTGTAAAAACAAATTAAGAATGCGGTGCATACAAATAATTAATAAGTACAATTATTAAAACAAAACATACAAGAAATAAAATCGGTGTTAACAAAATACACAAAAAAATATACAATACAGTAAATAAACCGAAACAAATGCAAAATGTCCAATTAACAATGTTCAATCTCGATCGCGGCACAAATACGATGAAGTTCCAAATATCAAATAAATATACCAAGTGCTACTTAATATATGCAGCAACAAATTAATATGGTGTATTGTTTCTTACCCCATGAAAAAGATAGCCCCAACGCTATCGCAAATTATGTCTTCAGCGACACTTCAACTACAAAAGTTGTGATGCACATTAGCGTCTTTCTTGGCCGATGCGGGATCAGGTACTCTTTGTCTTCAACATACAGTCATGTGCATACGTTAGAGCAGATAGCATTTCGACTCTGGTTTTGTATGGAACGCAAACCCTTATTTTAGGTACACACACATGTGCTGATATTTCGCAGATGGCCCGCCTTGCAATCTTTAGCCCTTAAAACGGCTGTGTCACTTACACAAAAATCTGGTTTAAAATATACGAGGAGAATAGAAACTAACAAAAAGACTGTTCATATTTAATAAATGTTTATGTATCGTTGCGAAACTGCAACAAATTGTGCTTTAAGGTGTAATTGGCTCAACCTGACACAATTTTCTCCTATTGCTTGTGTTGTTTTATTTATTTAATATATGGTCCAAGCGAAAAAAAAAAACAAATACACAAATACATATGTTTCCGTTAGATTTATCGTGTTACTAAAACATCTAATGATGCAATCTATTTATTGTTCTCCGAAAATGTGAACATAAATGTTTAGACGAAATAAAACACCCAAAAAGTGCTCAGATAGAATGTATATGCTCCAAGGCACATAATCTACGTCCGAAAAGAGTACAGCGCAAAATGGACCAAAAACGAGAAACAAAGTTCATCTTAAAATGAATGAAGACGTTAAAATAAAGTCAGTAGTTATTGTTCGATGGATATTGGAATAACAAAACATAGTACAAGTACTGCTTTGGCTGAACAAACAAGTAACTGTAGGCTCACATTACACCACTATTAACGTATATTCAGAGGGGCTATCGAAATCCATGAACATCCAACCAACTTTAATTATAAAGAAGAGAGTGTGTAACCTTCTTTATTCAGGATGTGGAGCTTAGCGCTACAAAATACAAAATTATTGGAGAAAATATAAATTTCAGAATTTTAATGTATAAATAATACATTTTTTTTAAAATATTTCTTTTGTTTTTCAGAAGATGCTTTGAAAGCTAGTTGGAGCTGCATATCATCCACCGATCTAGAATGCATCCTCTGCAGCCGATGTCTCTTGGACCCAGTAACCACTGGTTGTGGGCACACCTTCTGTAGAGGATGTCTCACGAGGGTACTGGACCATGGCCTCTCGTGCCCTCTTTGTATGTCTTCTCTAACCACGGGAGACTATTCTAGAGCATCGACTGAAGTTTTGCTGCAAGCCATTCAGTTTCTAGTGCCACAAGATTACAATGAAAGAATGTCCATAAGTATTAGGGAAAGTTTGATCTTGGAGAGGAGCTCAGATGTAAGAAATTTTGGAAATACAATATCTAGCGTATATATTAATGTTTTTATTTCTTTTAGATTCCAGTATTTATTTGTACTAACGCTTTTCCCGGTGTAGCATGCCCGTTGTACGTTTATGAAGCAAGATACCGTTTAATTGCCCGAAGATGCTTGCAATCCAGTACAAAAAGGTTCGCAATGGCCGGGAAAGACTCCAATGGAGACAAGTTCGTACAATATGGTACCATACTAGAAGTGAAAGATGCTGTAAACTTGGAAGATGGAAGGTTCATTTTAACAACAATTGGAGTTAGAAGATTCAAAGTTGTCAGTAGGAATGAACAGGTATGCATACCGTGTCTCTAGATTATTATTACAAAAGCGTCAATCATCATTTTGTAATAATCACCAAGAATGCTAGTGTTCAATATAATATTCCTTCTTTGTTTTTATATTGGTAAAGGTTAGGATTTGAAACCATCAGAATTGTCTCTTTGACAATATTTTTGACTTTTTCTTCACTCTATTTTTGACCAGTGAACTTTTCCAGTACAGAACACGTCTAACATTTGTTAAGACTAATCGATAAGAGCTTCTACAAATGTGTGCATAGAAACATCACATCAAGATACAATGACAAGACAAACATAGAAATGACTTGAAAATTTCTCGATCAAAAAAATAAATTAGTTGTCTCGAGGAATTACTATTCTAAATATTGCCCAATATCAGCTGTTGTGCATGCAAACATCACACCATTACTACGTATGGACTAATATTGCAAACCAACAGGTGACTTCTTTTTAAAGGACCAATCTGTGAATGTGATTTTGAGTACAATGAGTAGAAATACTGACGAACAAAACGATTCAGTAACCACCTGGATCTCTCTACTTAATTCCAAATTTTGCTGTTACAGAAGTTTGCTACAGTTTTTGTTGTATCTTCTCAACCGTTCCCTCCAACTCTTTTGATTCCACAAATATCTATTTTGCAGGCTTCTTTGGTCTATTGTCTCATCTACTTCATCTCTAAAAGATCTTAAAAGTCTTCCTTTCTTTCTTCTTTCTATTATGTAGTTAAATGTCAAATTATATCATCTTATTTAAATATTTATCGTTAATATGAATAATTGAATAATGGCCTGAGCTTTGCTGCTTATTGGCGACGTGCAAGTACTTGGAGGGGATACGAGAAACGATCGTGCGCGAGTAGCGGAGAAATCTTGCATTTTTTACTGCACATTTCATAGATTTCATAAATTCATATTGTCAATTGTCATATTTCATATTCGTTTGTTTATTGTTTATTTACACCTTCTGTCACTGAAGAAAATGGGATTTAGGAAATGCTGTGTTATAAATTATAAAAATACAACAAAAAATTGTCAATTTAAGTTTTATTCGTTTCCAACTTCGAAGCACAAAGCTACTACAAAGAGAAAAGTGGATTTATATCATAAAAAAGCATAAGTAACATAACCTAAATTATGCATTATTCTTGCGCCCGATTTTAAAGTCAGTTTGAAATAAATAATAAATAAAAGTTCACTTTTAAGTGTAAATTTTAGTTTCATAACACTCACTTAGAGTTAATTTTAACCCAAAAATCAAGTTTAATGTTTAAATTTTATTTTTTTGAAGTTTACAAAAATGCATCAAGTTCAAGTTTTTCTGAAGATGCATTAAGATATATTCGCTGTCCAAAAGTTTACAGGAAAAGAATTAATTGTTCAAACCAATATGATGATATCATGGGCTTAACCTGCTAATTTATGCCTTAGCATTATTTATGGTAATTTATTTTTCTTAATTCTTCCATTATTTTTTGACATGTGCCACTACTAAAGCTTTTCCCTTTGACTCAGTGCTTGGTTGAAAAGTTATTTGGTGATTTACTTTCTCAAATCCAGTTTTTATTATTGCATCCATATTAACAGTAATGTTGTAATTTAATAATGTATTTATTTGTATTTACACTACATACAACGTTTACCTTTTAATAAAATACCGACATAACCTCAATCTTACTTTTTCTTCTTATTCTTTTTTGGGGCTACGTCCTTGACAGTTATCCGGTAACCTCGATCTAACATGAAAGCGCAGTAAATTTTGCTGATTTACGACACCAGGTGTCGCTGTTCCGAACTTGCACGGTCCCATTTGACTTACCCAATTTTGTTCCTCCAACGAAGAACCAGTTACAAAGATCTTGCATTGTAAATATTTCTAAATAAAACATATAGCTGGTACGTTTAACATAATTGATTTCAAACTTTAAAATTATCGTATACACACATTTAATTCAGCATCCTTTTTTTACAGGATGGTTATGACACAGCCAAAATAAATTATATCAAAGACAACGATGTTCCTGCAGAAAAACTACAAGAATTGATGCTGATCCATGAAAAAGTATACAACAAAGCTTCTAAATGGATAAAATCTCTAAAACCGAAGGCTCTGAGAGAGGTCGAAAGACTGATTGGAAAAATGCCAAAGGTAGAAAAGGATTGGTTCACTTTACCAGATGGACCAGCATGGGCTTGGTGGTTGATGCCTATACTGCCACTCAGTTCACAATTACAGGTAATGGATAATGTATAACTGAAAGTAAACACAAATAAAGATGTCTGATAAACATACGGTATATGTATACGAGTTTTAGGTGTTTAACGGGAAGAAGTGACATTGTAATTTGCAAAATTAAATTTTTTTGTGATGCATTCTCAGTAATTATCAATTAAATACTTTCCTTTAGGTTTTAAAAACTTTTTCTTCAATTGTTACTACGTTTATGCTTAATGCTGACTGCATAGGACGTTCTCTTTTTCAAAATATCTGCACATTTATGGTTCTGGCTAGTGTTTTAAGAAAGAGTGAACTTTGTCCTTCTGTTTTAAGTGCCGTTGTTAATTTCCCCTACTAAGCATTTTAAGGTTGCTGCAAATATATCTCCCTGTCTAACCCCTTTATTTGTTACAAATTCTTTCGTTTTTGTATTTACCTGAGATACTAAAATACAGAGAGGAGTCCGCCAGGGTTGCGTGCTGTCACCACTACCTTTATAATATCTACAGTGAAGCGGTATATAAAGAAGCGCTCTCAGATTCAATAGAGATATATATATATATATATATATATATATATATATATATATATATATATATATGTATATATATATATATATATATATATATATATATATTATATATATATATATATATATGTAGATAAGTTTTGAATAAGTTTCAATTTATTGTAGAAGATACTGTAATTAAGAGTGTGAATACCTACAATTACGTAGGAAAATAGATAACATCAAATGTAGATCAAACCAAAGAAATTAAGACACGTTTTGAAATAACACGTGCATCATTCGTTAAACTTAAAAATTTCTTTGCTGTCGGGATATAAGGTTAGGACTACGCTTAAGGATGCTTCGGTACTACGTATTCAGCACTCGTTTTTATAATACGGAAGCATGGGCATTGAAACAAGTGCATCTGAATAAGTTAACCGCCTTTGAATTTTGGTGTTATAGAAGAATCCTACGAATGCCAAAGAATGTCAAACGCAAAAGATACTAGAAGAATAGAAAATGAAGCTGATATATTGTTGACTATCAAAAGAAGAAAACTTGAGTACTTAGGACATTGTGATGAGAAGATATATTGCAACTTACCATGCAAGGCAAAATTCGAGGAAAACGAAATATGGGAAGACGAAGAATATGGAGGCTTAAGAACTTAAGGGAGTGGTTTGAATGCAGTAGTGCAGAACTGTTTAGAGCGGCAGTCAATAGGGTCCGCATCGCCATGATGATTTCCAACTTTCGATAGAATATGGAACTTAAAGAAGAAGAAGACGGTTTTATAATGTACCAAAATTTATGAATGGATATATTGTTGACCTTTGCAATTCCTTATGGATGTTGTCCCAAAATGTTGTTCGTCACTTCGAGCAACCGTTTTTGTATTAAAGTTGCTTATAATTTTATAAGCAGTATTCAATAATCTAATCAAATAGAAGATCAGGAGTTCAAGACGTCATCGAAAGAATAACGACGCTTAAGTGGAACTGGGCAGGGCACTTAGCCAGAACACAAGATGGACGGAGGACAAGACGTATTATGGAATGGAGGCCCAGAAATTATAAAAGAAGCCGAGGACGACCACCGACTAGATGGACCGATGACATTAAACGTGTAGCGGGAAACTGGCTACAAGCGGCCCAGTGTAGAGAACACTGGAAAGAACTGAGGGAGGCCTATGTCCAGCAGTGGACGCGATTGGCTGATTGATGATTCAATAATCTAAGACCTCTGTAGGTATTACATATTTTTTTTTTTTTGGTGGTATTACATATTTGTTAGTCCTCTTTTTTTATGGATCATGACTACATTAGGACGTGCTTTGGAAGTCGATCTTTCATTGTACATGCGTCTTATCTTAACGCAAATTGTACAATCAGAAATTGGACAGAGACAAATAAAGGATAATATTAAATATTCATATTTACTAAATAGAAAGATAACCAAAATTTAGTGAGCAAATCTTGTTACGAAAAAGAAGTATTAAAAAAAATCTAGAATGTCCGAGATGTCATTGAAAAATTCCGAGATGTCTAGTAATATCTGGAACGTCAGAAAATAAATATAAACACAGAAAGTTGACACTTTAAGTAACAGTGATGGTTGGTGACAGCTGTGGGATAAAAGAGATATTAAATAATTCTTGATGGTTAACAAAAGATCTCTTGAATTTGATAAGGAAATGGATACGCCCTGACCCCCAGCATGGTTGTTAACAATGGAAGCGGAAAATGAGATGCGTAGAACGCGTAAAAGAGGAATAACTTCATTGAAATAATGCCATATGTTACAGAATACACTTAAATAAGTAAAGAAGATATATGCATTGGCTTATGCACGTTTGACGATGTTTGTATTTGATGAGTTTTCTGGGATCCAGTATTAAATACAATGGGTTAAAGTTGCACAAATAATTCAGTAGCATTGTTATTTTTTCAGTTATCCTATTTTCCACACTTCCCTTGTGCAGTTCCGGCTATTACATCATCGTTAGTTGTGAAACGGCATTCTGTGAGTCCCTTTTTAAGTTTAGGAATATAAATAGTCACACGAGATTAAATCTGGCGAATAAGTCGAGCAATTCAGATTTCAATGCCGAAAAAATCTCCAATAGACTTGCATAGTACACGCGAATTATTGCTGTATATTTTTACAAATAATAATTGTGTGAATGACACCTTTTTCATAAGAAAAAATTGACTTTTCGATCCATCAGGTGGATTTGACCTTCGCAAATTTTACTATCTGGAAAAAATCTCACGCAACTGTCGTAAAAATAGCTAATACAGAGATATTGTCACGTCTGACGTAGAGCTGAATGTATTCTTCATCTTCTTCTTCTTCAAGTGCCCTGTCCGTTCCGAACGTTGGCTATTAACTTGGCAATTTTGATCTTGTTTGCGGCGCTTCTGAATAGTTCGACCGATGTGAGCCCGAACCACTTCCGCAGATTTTGGAGCCACGAGTGTCTTCTCCTGCCTGGCCCTCGCTTACTGTCTATTTTTCCCTGGACAATCAATTGTAGCAGACGGTACTTATCGTGTCTCAATATGTGGCCTAGATATTCAAGCTTTCTTTGTTTAATTGTATTCACGATTTCTTATATTTTCTTATTTTTTCACGATTCACGATTTTCTTATATTCTTCATATGGAGATAAATCTAGGCTGTAGTTGCAGCAGCATTGTTGTGGGCTATAATGCTAGTAGCGTTGGTGTTGACTGTTGACTAAGTATCAGCTAGAATTGTAGCTTCCAACATACTTTTAAAAAATTGTTGCGGTGAACAAAGATAAAGCCCAATAATAAAAAAACTAAACCAAGAAATCTTGTATTGGCTAACAGCATAAAGTTACTATATGGGAGAATAAACGGGGGATGTACAAAGAGTAAATGAGGATAGAACTGAAATAATTAAAAGTTGAACAATGATCTTGTTTTTTGTTTCTTTTTATTCTATATCGATTGATTCCAAAGGACAGCGTTGAGTATGGTAATTGCTTTCCTTCCTTTGTTTCTTTATTTCAACTTTAACTTTGTTGGCTTTGACTAATTTTTTGTTCTTGTTGTCTCATTGTCTCAGATTTTTCAACCAGGACGTGCGTTTTCTCCCCGGTCCTCTTTTGCCTTCCACCTTCCCTTGTATGACCAGGTGCATCAGTTCGTATTTCTCGTTTCTTAGTATGTGACCAAACTAGCTGATTTTTCTTTTCTTTATAGTGTTGAGTATTTCTTTATCTTTTTTTCATTCTTCGTAGAGTTTGCGCTTTTGTTATGTGTCATGTCCAAGATATTTTCCACATTCTTCGATAACACCACATTTCAAAGTAACGACTCTTTTCTCTGTGGTCTCCGTAATTCTCCAGGCCTCAACTCCATACAACAGGACAGAGAACACGTAGCATCTCAATACTCTAGTTCTAATTTCAATGTTGAGTTTTTCATTGCATAATATTGCTTTCATCTTATTAAAAGCACTTCTAGCTACAGTATTATGCGAATTAGTGCGAATTAATGGAATCATAGGCTGTTTTAATGAAAAAACAGTTTATTTAGTAAAAAATTATATTTTGACAAAACTATAAAGGTAAACTTACATCATTCAGTAGGAAATATGTCCCCCTTTGGCAGCAATTACTGCTTTTACCCGTTTTGGCATAGATTCTATGAGTTTCTGGCAGTTGTCAGATATCCTTTCATCTCGATACCAAACCTGAATGGCCGCTTCTATCATTTTTGTTTTAGTGGTACAGTCGATTTTTCGCAGTCTAGCTTTGCAAATGGCCCATAAATTTTCAATGGGGTTGAGGTCGGGCGAATTACCGGGCCAATCTAAAACATTAATCTTCTTATTTTTGAAAAATGCCATCATTTCCTTTGATTTGTGACAGGGAGCAGAGTCCTGTTGAAGAATCGCTCCTCCTTGGGGTTGACATTTTTGGAGTTGTTTGTCCAAATACTTTTCCAACATGGATTTGTATTTTTGGCTGTTCATCATGCCTTCAATTGGCACCAAAGATCCAACCCCCATGTATGAAAAACATCCCCAAAACATTTTCTTGACTGGATGTTTTACGGTTTGATCAATATGAGATGGTGTAAGCTTTTCATTGTCAGACTTCCTGACGAATTTCGACCGCTGTCCCTGAACTATAAAGTGGGTTTCATCTGTAAATAGGACTTTTTTCCAGTCGCCTACAGTCCAATTAGAGTATTTTTTGGTCCACAGTAGCCTTTGTTTCTTCATTCGTTCAGTTAGAAGCTGTTTTTTCTGAGGACGAATTGCCCTTCTACCATTCTCCAAAAGTCTTCTACGAACAGTTGAGTCATGAATCACTATAGCTGATGCTGCTAGATCTTGTTGTAGGTCTTGGCTTGATTTTCTTGGGTCCAATTTGCTCTTCGAAGTAAAAATCTATCATCTGCTGGTGTTGTTTTTCTCTTTCTTCCACATTTTCCTAACCTTTTCACATCCACTGATCCCGTTTCTCGTTTACGCTTCAAAATTTTGCTTACTACCCCCTGACTCACTCCACACGTTCTAGCAATCTCTCTTTGTGACATACTAGTGTGTTCACTCAACGTGACAATCTTTTCACGCTTCCTAGGCGTAATATCCATGTTGGAATAAAACCAAAAACAACACAAAATAGTACAAAAACCCCCAAAACAACACAAGCTTGGTAAGAAATGACCTAAAACACACTGAAACACACCAACACACAGTAAGGTTATGTTTTCAATGCTTGGTCAGCTGTCAACTGTGTAGGTAGTGTTGCCAACTGTGAATATTGAAAAAATGAAAAAAAATTCACAGTGATTCCATTAATTCGCACAATATTGTATCTTAATACGCCGTTTTATTTCCGTACTTCTATCCCATTCTTCATTATGTCGCAACTTAAGTACTGATATCTGCCTAAAAGTTTTCCTTTAGCATAAACACTGTCTTCCTCAATCTTGTTCTTGCTTATCACCATGATTTTTGTTTTATTTGTATTCAGTGCCATTCCATACCTTTCGCAGAATTGTCCTCTGTATCAAGATCTGTAGTGTTTTTATGCTGTCTGCAAGGAGTTCTTCTCTGCTGTTCTTTTTGTTAAAAATTCTAAATGCTGTATATTATTGATGCTTTAGGAAGACTTTTATAGTTGTAATTGATTTGCCAATACTATTATTATTAATTTTTCTCACCAATCATTTATATTTTGTTCTAGGTTGGATTTTTGAGCACTACCAGCTTGGAAAAACGGCTAAGAGCCATTGACAAAATGTTGGAGCACATGAAGATCCGCATGAAAGCTCTGGAGCGAAATACTGTCGCCTGCTCTCAAGAAGTAGACCCGTCGGACTACTGTGAAAGTGGAAGATCTTTAGAAATGCCATATACTAATAATTAATTTATTTTAATATTTATTAAGCGAGTAGATAATGGCAGTTTTCCTACGATGTACAGGGTTTTTATGGTCTTAAAGAAGTACATTAAATTCTAGTCTATTGGAATGAACTATATCATAATATTAACAATAGTACAATATCAAAATTCTGTGTCGGTTTTCATTATTTAAATTTATACAATTCTACGATTTTATGGTAATCAATCAAATTTGCTGCTTTCCAAAATCTCATAAATGTTTACATCCATTACAATAGTGTTATTTCCATATCAATGTATTTCTTCTATGCAATTTATTTCTTCTTATTTTTTAACATTTTTCCAATACTTTTGATCCATTTTCTATGAATCAGCTTCAAATATTAAGTTATGTTATCACCTTTCTGGTGCTACTCCCTAAGTCCATGAAAGAAACAAATAAAAAAAGTAAAAACAAACAGAATATCATCAGATTATTCATAGGAAATGAAATTAAGATATTTTAAAGAGTAGTATTATTAATTTGGTGTTTTATATTGACTTCTTATTCTTTTTTTGCCAAGGGCTGTATCTCTATTTATTGTACATTACTCAGTATTTATACTGCTTTTGGAAATTAATTGTGGAGTTTCAAAAATATATAGAATTTAAGCTTAGTAGATTATGTGAATAATCGCAGACCAACTTGGAGTGATAAAAATGTATAAATATGTTTTATTAATATAAAGTAAGAAACTTTATTGGATAATGCAGATATACCTAAATAAGAATTGTACATTTATAAAAAATTCGATGTCTTCATTCCTAAATATTTTGTTAGTATAGACTATATGTTATAGATTCGTGTATGATACAGATAATATTTAAGACGTATGCATCGATGTTACTTTTTAAGAGTTGTTCCGTCTTGCGCAGGCGCATGATAGTAGCAAATCATAATTATTAATATATTAAGTTCGACATCTGACATCTGACGTCAAACGCGCCATCTAAGCTCAAGAAATGTATTTCTTTAAGACATTATTTGTTAGGATATGTTTCCTACACAAAATAGTATTGTTGTTACCTGTACCGTATCGAAACTTGTTTGCTCGCTGTAATAACTATAATATTTATATCATATTTATTATAAAACAATACACTAGGCGTATCTATAAAATAATTGCAACCTTTTCGAACTTCAGAAGTTTGCTGTTTCTAAAAAATTCACCACTAAAAGTACATGTTATCGATTTTCCTAACTGAAATAATAAAATAAAACATTGTTCTAGCTTTGAATTCAATCGTCTGTTTGAAGAATACGCTAATTAAACGGAGATAATAGTTAAATATCCTCCTCAGGTGTATGTAGGTCAATACATACGGATTTTATGGGTTTGACTTTACAACTATAATCCCTCTTCAGTGCCATCAAGATTCTCACTAGTACTGACTTGATTTATGGTTGTAAAAATATTTAAGAAGTCAATTTCATAAAACAGTAAATCTTGTCGTGTACTATGCCATAACTTTATTAAAAAAATCCGCAAGGAAAAAATTCCTGTAGCTGGCTGTATACCACGTATCACAAAAAAGAGGTTAGTCTTTGTAAATGGGTATATTTATTTAAAAAACCCTTAAAAGGGCTACATCAATAAAACAAACGTTTTCGGACCACACAGTCCATCATCAGGTTTTAAAATCGAAAAATGCTAGGTCACAATGCCTGAGCCACCAAAATACTAGGGTAAAAACCCTTTAAATTACATTTAGTTATAAAAGATTGTACATTGTGTTGTAAAATAACTGTGATGTTCAGTATTAAATTAAATTTGGCTAGAGGTAACACATGGCTGAAGCGAGTTCCAGAGCCGGTGAGAGAGAACCTCTACACGCGGAGAACAGCTGGGAACTGTTCCCAGCTGTTAAGTTCCCAGCTGTTCTCCGCGTGTAGAGGTTCTCTCTCACCGGCTCTGGAACTCGCTTCAGCCATGTGTTACCTCTAGCCAAATTTAATTTAATACTGAACATCACAGTTATTTTACAACACAATGTACAATCTTTTATAACTAAATGTAATTTAAAGGGTTTTTACCCTAGTATTTTGGTGGCTCAGGCATTGTGACCTAGCATTTTTCGATTTTAAAACCTGATGATGGACTGTGTGGTCCGAAAACGTTTGTTTTATTGATGTAGCCCTTTTAAGGGTTTTTTAAATAAATATACACATTTACAAAGACTAATAACTTTATTGTATCCTGTACTGTTGTACTTGAATCCGAGTTCTCTTTGTGATGTTCTTTATAATCTGGTTTATATATAAAGGGCTTTACTTGATCCGTCAATCTGCACAGTTTTCTAACCTGTATCAGTTTTCAATATACAATAATTTTAAATACTTGTACAAATTTGGAGTTGTTCTTCCATTACCATAGTGTTTGTTATCTTCTCGAGGTAACTTATCAGGTTATTTCACTTACTAATATACTTATTAATGTGAAGATACTCCCGATCTTCTAATGGCTCATATCTAGAGATTGATTAACGCATTATTTAAACTTAACATCTAATCAAAAAAATTTAAATCATTATCACCACTTTCGGGGCCAATTGTGGTCATGATTCACTGATCCAGTTATTATATTCAATTCTATTCAATTCTTTTCAATTATATTCTATTTTATTCAATTCTATTCAATTATATTCAATTCTATACAATTCTATTCAATTCTATTCTATTCAATTCTATTTAATATTCAATTCTATTTAATTCTATTCAATTCTATTTAATTTTATTCAATTCTATTCAATTGTATTCAATTCTATTCAATATTCAATTCTATTTAATTCTATTCAATTCTATTCAATTCTATTCAATTCTATTCAATTCTATTCAATTCTATTCAATTCTATTCAATTCTATTCAATTCTATTCAATTCTATTCAATTCTATTCAATTCTATTCAATGTTATTCAATTCTATTCAATTCTATTCAATTCTATTCAATTCTATTCAATTCTATTCAATTCTATTCAATTCTATTCAATTCTATTCAATTCTATTCAATTCTATTCAATTCTATTCAATTCTATTCAATTCTATTCAATTCTATTCAATTCTATTCAATTCTATTCAATTCTATTTATTTAATTCTATTCAATTCTATTCAATTCTATTTATTTAATTATATTCAATTCTATGCAATTATGTTGAATTGTACTCGAGCGTCGAGATTTGTAGATCAACACTTGATGATTTCTTTGTTATTGTTTTATATGATGAAATTTTCTTGGTTATCCCCACATCATGCTTATATGTTTTAAGAAAAGTTAGTGTAAACTTAGTTACTTACTCTATACCTACAATATCCTTTTTTAATTGGCGTATTCTTTAAAACCTTTTATATAATGTAAAGAGACCTTCAAATTGTTATTCTAACGCACAAGAAAGTTTTATCCTCAAAATATCTGCTAATCGGTTAATCTGTTTAAAAAATAATTTTTATAATTGACTTTCCATGTCTTACCAAAACAGAATGGATTTAAAATTTTAACATTTGTAAATTGTTTGTTGATATCTTTACAAAAAAAAACACTAATATCAGGAGGATACGAACAAGTGTTTGGATCATTTTTTATTACTAGGTTTGTGGCTATAATATAGTCATAACCAGAAAAGCTGGTGAAATGCATGAAAACCACGTGATCATGTTTCAGACAGCTCATTATTCCGACAAAGGATAGTAAAGTAGGCTAGAGAGGGGAGGAGGTGAGTCCTATAATGTTGCAGTGTGGTTTTTCTTGGCTGTGAATAGTTAACAAGTATCTGAAGATAAACAAACTATTTTTAATTCTCCTCGATATATGTTTCGTTAAACATTAGCAAAATCGGTGGCTTTTTTCAGATGATCCCTAAAAGTTTTGATGGTTTCTCTTTTGCCTTGGGTGATAATTCGACATGTTCTAGGTTTTCGTTAAACTGTGTTTTCCAAATTTAAGTTTAAGTACAACTAGGACGTCCAAAACGGCAATTGAATTGTTTTTATCTACTTTTGTAATAAACTGGATCTTAAAGTTGAGAAAATCTAGCAAATTGAATAAATTTGTAATTTCACCTTCACCATGTTATCAGATCATGTATTGTAGGTCCTGTTGGACTGGAAATATGTTGTAAGGTAGTGACAAAAAAGGTTTGTGATATTTTCTGGGAACTGCTGACTAACTCATTGTTAATAAATAGTGAAAGCATTTAGAAACCCTCTAGTATGTTTTTCGGTCTTGGTGTATTTTATTTTCCGGATATTGTCCCTTCATTTCCCCGATATACGGTGCAGATTAGTCAGAAGACGGTTTTAGCAATGTCTTTTAGATTTTGCGACCTTGTATCTATATCTAAGGGAGCCAATTGCACTAAAAACCGGTTTCAATGAACATCTTGCTAATTTTAAGAAGGCCATACATTCGCGTTGGTAGTATTCTATCTTTCTTATTTTTCATAGTAGTGTTGTTACAGTAATATTTGTACTCATCATCAGTGGCATTACAGCTCGTCATGAGCCAAAACCTTCTTCAGAACAATCTTCCATTCGCCCCTGTCTCCATGCTTTAATTCTTCCTCTGGATCGTCTTCCCACTGGTCCTTTTCGGTCGAAAATTTTTCTGATCTTTGCATCTTCATCTCGTCTAATTACATGTGCTATCCATCGAAGGCGTGCTAATTTAATACATTTTACAACTTCAGGTTCCCCAAAACTTCTGTATAACTCAAAGTTGTAGCGCCAACCCCATAAACCTTGTTCTTGGACTCCTCCATATATTTTCCTTAGAATTTTTCTCTCGAAACGTTTAAGCAGTTTCTTGTAGTGAGTTTTATATTATGATATTAGTGTTTTATATATGGTAATTTTTGTACAATATTTGTACTACTACAAGAAAAATTTTTAGTTTGTTATCCAGATATTTGTTTGTATCCTCGTGTTTAACATTTTTACCGATATTTAGCAATAGATCGTTTAAAAATAAAAGCAATGGTATAACAAAAGTAAA